TGATTTGTGTGTATATATTTCAGTCAATTTTTACTGATGTGATCTGAGACTCAGTTTTATTTTCTTCTTATCTGAAAGTGGAAAATAATGCCCACTTCAAATTATTGTGTGAATTAAATGAGACAGTGTGATAAAGTGCTTCATACACTAGGCCTTACCACGTGTAATACTGACATTATGGCAGATACAAAGATAAATCCCTTCTAAAAGGTGCTAGATAACCTATTAAAGGACACAGACAGTTTTGCAAAAAACTGTTCTGTAATGTAGAATATAGAAAATATTATGAGAGACATAAACAAAAGTATGATTGTGGGAGAGCAGCAAAATACTAAGTAAAGGAAGGAAAAGAAGTAAAGAAAAATACCCAAGTTAGAAGGAAAATGACAGAAGGTAGGACTTAGCAAAGTAAATGCAAATTAAGTTAAGGTAGAATTTTTTTACTGTGTAATTTTAATCTACTAAGGTAAAATTAAGAATAAAAAATGTAATTCCTTATTAGTGGGACTATAGTAAAACTGGGACTCTCAACCATTCAAAACATTGCTTATGGCACTATAAATGGATTAGACACTTCTGGAAATTTTATTAATCAATCAAGAATACAAAATGCACTTTCCATTTTATCCAGTAATCCCACTTTTGGAAATTTTTCTGAATAATAACTTAAAATATGAAAAAAATATACACAAAGTTCTTTATACTAGAATTGCTTATAGTGGCCTAACAGAAGAAGCAACCAATATGTGCAGTCATAGAAGAAAACGCTTAAGTTGCTGATGTCGAAGCTTCTCAATGAACTCTCACAAAGCCATTTCAAAAGGTGGCTATGTAGAGCATGGAATTGTATGTAATTACAGTTTGACAATGTTTCTGAACAGTTATGTATCTGGGGAAAAAACTGGAAGGGAAAACTGCTGAAAACAAATAATTTTTAAGGGTGGTAAAGAAATATTGGAAGAAAGTCTATTCTTAAAACTTTGTAAGTGCTTTTTTATCATACATATATTTATGTGAATCATATACCTTTGTATTCCCACTTAACAACCTTCTGCCACATATCTAACTTCTATCATATTATTAACACATATTCATTTCTCTGTACTTAATTATTCATCTTTTCCTACTAAACAGTGAACCACTTGAGTCTTGTTTTGTTTGTTTGTTTGTTTATTGCTGTTGTTGTTGTTGTTTGGTATTCTCAGCTCCAAACATGGGTCTGGAATGTAAAAGTTTATTTCATAATTATTTGATCAATGAATGCATTAATTAATCAATAGATAAAGAAGTACAGTTTTCCAAATCTTAGTTATTCTTAGTATATATTATTATATACTTGGAAATTTTCTTAATGTTTTCAGACATTAGGGGAGAGTTTTAAATCTTTTACCTCTAACCCAAAAACTCCTAGAGGTCTTTGAGATCCAGAATCCAAGTGTCTGGCTTAGGTACTCAGACAGGTTGAAGAAAAGAAATAGAGCATAGGAAAATTCTGCTTTGGCTAAAGAATTGTGTTACACACCATTATTTCAGCCTGCATTTACCCCAGATTTCACCGACCAGTGTGTACGTTCCACACTGACAAAAAAGTAAAAGTCTCAAAAGACCTTCTAAAAAGAGTACATGTAAACACGAAGGATACTTACCAGGACAATATACACACAAATGCAAGGCTTATAAATTTAGTTTTTTTCTGGGTAAACAAAATATTTACAAATGGCCCATAATGCACAAATGGCCAAGTAAGTTGTCATTTTGTGAGGGAAATAGATTAATTAGGTTAGGAGGAAGATACTGATTTTTTTGTGCTGAATGAGAAAAATTTGACACTCAAGAATTCAGTAAATAGGAATGCTGTGTTGTCCGTTCAACAGCTGAACCAAGCAAAAATTTTCTAACAGAAAAGGACCTTGAACAATTAGGAAATCTACTGAGATAAATTTGTTCTTATACATGTTTTGCTGTTCTGCTTGTGTTTTAAATAACAACCCCCCCCATCCAATGCAAAATGACATCTGCCAAATTTAAAAAAAAATAAAGAATGCAAGGACCCTTAGAAAAAATTAAAAGGTACAAAGAAAAAAATGTTGCAAGCCTTTGTAAGCTTCAAAGGAGTTATGATAATAATGTCCTAAGGGATGTGGATTCACAGGATTTTGCAGGTGGATTAACATTATGAGTATAACTTTCAAATTAGACTCTCTCTCAGTTATCTCATTTATATAATGAAAATAATACATATCTTACATACTGATTTAAGACTATGTAATATATAAAGATGTAATATACTTTATAAAGTGTTTATTACAATGCTTGATGCAAAACAACACTCAATATGTTTTTCCTTTGTATTATGGCCAAACTTGTCATCACATCATCGCTGTCAACTGTACGAGTGCCTATGGCTGATCCCATCAGTTTCCTCTCCTGGGACAAGGAAATGGAACATGAAAAATATTTTGCACTTTATCACTAAAATTTTCTATGGCTAAACTGGCCCCAGTTAAATTATAGATGGCATACATATCTGTTAAGATTGGATGAGGGTAATAGCATAGGCTCCAGACATCTGTGGAGTTTGGGAAGTGCTGTTCTGGGTTTAGAACCCTTGAGCCTCCTTTGTGTGAATGGAGCAAATGGCCCTACCTGTAGACACTTGATTAATGCGGACAGAGCGGGCTCGGACCTTTGCTGAGACACAGCCTGTATGTTAACAGTGAGTCTTCTTTAGGGATCACCCAGAGAAACATTCCCACCAAAAGCCTCCTCTTGAAGGATGTTTGTATATTTGGAAAGTTCTAGTTATTGTTCCAATGGTTATCTCCACTGCCACTTTCAGCAAACAAATCTGGACTCTGCCCCATCGCTTCAAATCAACAGTTTTGATTTGATTTTCATCATTACATTTATCATTATGTGATATGTTCCTACTTGTCTTGGGGGCATTTTAAAGTATTTGCCTTTCATTTCTCACTCTCTGATGTTGTTTCTGCATTTTCATTTGTTTATTGTCCATCTACACTTCTTACATATATTCTCTAGTAGAATGTAACTTCTTTGACTGCAGGGATCATATCTGTCTTTCTCAATGCTGTATGTCAAACCTAGCACACACACCCAATGAGGGAACAGAAAAATTCTATCTGGAGATACCAGACGTGTAGCAATCATCTTAATTAACACCTGTAAGAATGCATCCCCAAGTAAACAAAGAGAAAAGGGCTATGAACCTTTTACGTAACCACCTTTAGAACTTTATATCAGGAAATGATGGGCCAGCTTTCCCATGGCAAGGGTATATTTGATGTCCCTTGTCCTTTGTCTTTTCTCTCTTCCAAATCATCAGCCTGGTTTTTAAGCATTATACTTCCTTCATTTAGCCCTTCTCTACCAGATCAGCACTTCTTTTGCAAAAGTAATTGTGAACATCTTGCCTCTTCCATATACCTGGAACACACCAAAAAGCACTGATTGTCATTGCATAAGGCTACCTGGAAATTTGCCGTAACTACAGTTACTATGTTTTTCAGGCTGTCTAGACTATTTTGGAGCAATGCAGTCTTTCTTATCTACTCTTTATACAAGCAAGATGCCATCCTTGCTCAGCTATACTAACGTGCATTTAGAATCATATATCCATTCAGGATATATTCCTCCCTAAGAGGGAAGATGTGTGCTGAGCTCCGCAAGATTCTTGTCTTTAAAGTGTGACCTTGAGGTCTTGCAGAAAGTAGCCTCTTCAGTCCTAAGTGCTTCATCTCAGCTGTGCCTGTTCACAAAGTAAGCCTCAATGTTATGGACCTTGGTACTTTTCAAGCATTGTTCCACAGGAAAAAGACACTGCTTTCACTACTACTGTAAGCTGTTCTTAAGGTAAAGAAATAGAAGCTGGGACTGTAAGTGATATGGCATATTTCCCTGGAACTGGAACGCCGGCCTCATTTAAGGCTACCATATGACACATGATTTCACGGGTGTTCAGAAAAACTCCATTTACTTTACAAAATTCAATTAATTCTTGAGTTTCTTCCCCTGGGTAAAACGAAATCACAACTATAGTTAAGGCTTGGAAAGCAGTCGTTTGTGCGACAAGAAATAAAATCAAGAAAAGATCTGCAAAGATGAACTTGAAATGGACATTCAGACATTGGTTTTTGGAAGCAGTTGCTGTCTTGCTTCTCTCTCTGGCCAGAACCCAGATGTCAGTTCCTATCAGAGCCTCCTTTCTCTCACATACCCTCCCACAGAGTCAGGCCTTCCACACAGTTCAAGATCATATTATCATGGTGGCACAAACCATCTTTCAAACAGGCAATGAAAAGATATCTTAATGGGGAAAATGAGTCATCTTGGGAGGTAGGAGGAGGATGGCTACACTTTGATCATGGTCTGTAACAGGAAGATCCTTTATCCACATAGTTGCCTTAATGCATCCACCCATACTCACCTATACTGACCCCGAGGTGCTCTCATAGACCACTGACTGCACACTCCTCAGATCTAATTAATTCTGCCACCCACCCCACCTCTAAACCCGTTTCCAATTCCAGTGGTATCCAGCTCTCTACCACGCACTTCTCTCTTCTACTTTCCCATTTCTCTCTATGGACATAATTAACTAGCTGGCTACTTCTGTTAATGAAGATTTCAGGTTCACTCTAAAGCCTTATATTGAAATCTGTAAGGATTAAAAAAAATTCAAAACTAGGTGGCAAAACTTTCCTGAAGGATATAAATACCCAAGATTTAAAAGTTATTTTAAGAAAATGGATTCCACTCCATAATCCTCCCTTTTTCCTTACCCCCAGCTTCCTATTATGAAAGATCGTTAACCTTAGGAATAAAAGATAAATTCTTGGGAGCTCCTTAGGGACGCAGGAGTAACTGTGTGGGTGTGCGGGGGTGGAGGGATAGAGGGTGGAGAAGAAGGTCCGGAGAAGCGAAAAGATCGCACGTTCCTAAAAGCCCCGACTCTGTTCTTTTGGCCACCAGGTCCCAGGTTGCTGCGTCCCCAGGGCGGCGGGGCGGCATGGAGGGGTGTGACTACAAGCCCCCGCGCGCGCCCGTCCCCACCCCCGCACCTGCCCGCGCTGCGTGACTGGCCGCCGCCGTAGTCTGGGCTCCTGAAGGCGCAGAGCGCCACGCGCTGAGCGGGAGAGGCGGGCGGGCTGCTGCCTTGCGTCTGCCGCCCTGTCCTCCCTCCTCCATTCTCTCCGCCCCTCCCCTGGCGGCCGCGCTGCCTGGGAGCCCGGGAAGCCGTTGCTCCGAGCCCGCAGCCCGGGTTCTGTGGCTGGCATCGAGGCGGGGGCGGCGGGAGCGCGGAGACCACAGCCCCTGGAGAGAGGAAGAGGGGGGTCCCTGGCCTGGGCAGGCCGAGCCGAGCGTGTATTTGCGCGTGAGAGCGGGGGCTGCACGGTGCTCATCCCGGACCCCGCCAGCCCCAGACCAGGTCGCCGCAGCCCGGGAGCCTCCCCGCCTGCGCCCAAGGCGCGCGCGGCACAGCCATGAACACCAACGATGCCAAGGAGTATCTGGCCCGGAGGGAAATCCCTCAGCTTTTCGAGGTAGGGGGCTAGGGCTGGCAGAGGAGCGGGAGGATGGGGAGGATCGGGGAGAGCATCTCGGGCGTTCATGGTGAGGAACTGCGCCCCGTCCCACCTTACCAACGCGGGGCATGGAAGTGAAGGGGCTAGCAGAAGCTCGCCTGCCCGCCCCCTTGCCCGGTGGCAGCTGCCTTTCCTGGGGTTTGCCGGGATCCTGGTCCGAAGGCTGGGTACAGGAGCCCGCACCTCCCAGGCCAAGTTTCAGTCTTCCAGCGGGTTCTGGAAGCAGGCAGCACCCCTCGGATGCGAACACCCGGGGTGGGCTACAGGCAGCAGCTGGGCGCGCTTTCTGGAGGCAAGGGCCAGGCCAGGTGGTACCGTACGCTTGCGCCCAGGAACGAGCGAGGACTAGAAACTGAGGGGTCAAGACCCCTAGCCCCCTTGCGCCGAGGGTCGGGATCCCAGTGGTGAAAGAGAAGTGTGGACGAAAGCAGCCCTCTCCAGGGAAAGCTTGAAGGAGAGCGGATGAAGATGCAAAAACAAATCCAAACCCATCAAGTGCAGTGCTACCTCCGGGTGGCAGGCAGCCAGCGCTGCTCTGCGCTTTCGGTGAATGAACTCCTGAGCACGTTTTCCCGTCGCCTTGGGAGGGTTCTCTTCGTCGCCTCCCCAGCCGCAGCTTTCGCCAGCCCTTCCTAACCCACCTAGAGAAAGCTGGTCTGAGAGGGAGCGGCGTGGTGGATGTGACTCCTGTTGCTCTGTCTTAAGACCGCATCACAGCACCATCTGCGCTAGGGACCCGCGGGGTGGAGGACACATTGAGAGTGTGGAATGGGAGGATTGAGGAACCAAAGGAACCTTGGTTAGTTCTAAACCACAGCCTCTGTCTCGGATCGTTTTGCTTCCTTTCATTCCATATTTGAATTTTAAGACATTTGCTTAGGTAAAAAAAAA